AAAAAAAAAAAAAAAAAAAAAAAAAAAAAAAAAAAGAAAGTTAGTAGATAGTATCTCAGATATCAGTGTCTGTTATGTTTTCTTTACTTTCTGTATTTTTTTTATTTCACAATTTTTTAAAAGGAAAATTTGACAAATAAGATGTGTACAGAAAGGCAAATGATGCATAATCTCAACACTCAGAAGTAATCACTGTTAACAGTTTAGTGTATGTCCTTCCATACACACTTAGGAATATATGTTCCTTCATATCTAAGCACACGCACTTGTGCATGTCTTTACTTCTCTTACATTAGATCATATTGTACAGTGGTTCCCAAATGCCAGTCCCTGGGCCCTTTGCATGAGAATCTGCTGAGCAGCTTTCTGAAAGTATAAACTCCCAAAAGATCCAGTTCCAGAAACTGATTCGGTAGTCTGGTTGTGGTCCTCAGGTCACTCTTTTAAAAAGTTACCCAGGTAGTTCTGATGCATGGAAAGGTTTGGGGATGCTGTTTTGTAAATGGCTTTCTTACTGTCATTCAATGTTTCTCCCTCATCATTTTTTGGTTTTTTTGTTTGTTTGTTTTTGTTTTTTGTGAGGAAGATCAGCCCTGAGCTAACATCCATGCTAATCCTCCTCTTTTTGCTGAGAAAGACTGGCCCTGGGCTAACATCTGTGCCCATCTTCCTCCACTTTTACATGGGACGCTGCCACAGCACAGCCTGACAAGTGGTGCATCAGTGCGTGCCCGGGATCCGAACCCGGGCCACCAGCAGTGGGGCGCAAGCACTTAACCGCTACGCCACAGGGCCGGCCCCTCCCTCATCATTTTTTGGGCTACATAGTAGTCCAACTATGTAAGACTTTTGCTAAATGGTCGTTTCTTGTCTCCAGGAAAAGAGAGGGAACAAAGCATCCGATAAAGCTGCTATTGTGGCCTTTGATGCCCTGGTGACCTTCTGTGAAGAATTAGGGTGAGTGACTTATTTCATATATGGAACAAAGTGTTAGTTCATCTTTTCCTTCCCTAGCACCCACTAGTTAACCAGCTAACGTAGGGCAGCTCTTGGGCCACCAAGGGACCCCTGCCTACCAAAGCCCTCGTGTGGGGCACATTCTGTCAGGCAGCATGGAAGTCAGTACGCTTCCACCTTTCTGTGGAAGGCCCCAGAAACTCTTGGCAGTGTGAGAACTCGTTCAGTATTTTGAATGGTCGTCCATCCACCCTACTTCACCCCATCTGGAATGGCTGGTCCCATGAATGACTCGGTCCTGACTCCTGTGACCAGTTCTGAGCCAATGGCATTGTGGTCATCACATGCCGCTGAACTGGACTGCTGGCTTCACTTGAGTAATAGTCACGCTTATCTCAGACCCACACGGAGGCGTGTGACCCAGGTTATCTCTTGGTGGGAGGTAATGTGCTTGGAGAGAAATCAGCTTTTCTAACAACACCAGCCTGCCCACATGGAACCCACTTATCTATTTTATCTGCATCTGCTGGTGGTGGGAGCCATGAAAGAGCCTGATAGCTGCTCAGTGACAGGCAAGTTGTGGCAGGGTTCTGGGCACGAGCAGCTGTGAGTGCACCGTGTGGGGGACATCCAGGAGGATTCTGGACAAGCGGGGAGCACTTTGCATTTGTGTAGCCCTTTGGTCTAAAAAGCTCTTTGATTTCTCTGCTGTCATTGGGAAGATCTCATTGGATCACCTTGTGGGGTAGATGAGGCAGAAAGGATTGCTTCAGACCTAGAGATGAACAGACCGAGATCCAGAGAGGTCACAGTCACAAAGCTTACAGTAGACAGACTCTACTAATCCCAGATCTTCTGATTTTCAGTGACATGCACATTTGCATGCACATGTGCCATCTTGGTTTTTGCAAGTCTAGATTCTGGAAGCGTGGAGCTGATTAAGTATGTGGTACTGGTGTCTAGCAGACGTTTGGGACTCTCCTCTGGAAACCAGAGAGGCACTTATTTGGGCCATGTGTTTTGATTCCCACCCCTCCTATTCACCGAGGAGTCGGTGGACTGAGGCTGTTGCCTTCTCCAAGCAGCCGTCTTTCATTTGGCCTCGGTGGTAAGACCGCACCCAGCTGAGGTGGTTGGCTGCAGTACCAGGACCACCCTTGCCCACAGCTGTTGGCGACCAGAACCCTTTTCAAGCACTAGTACAGGGAGTTGCTAAATTAGGCCTTCTTAGGCTCCTTGAGCAAAGTGCTCACAATGAAGGGGCCAAGTGTCCTTGCTAGTTGTCACAGTCCCCTCCACTGGAAATAACCCTGGCTGGGTTCTTGTCTGGGATGAGTCTGAGGCTCTGTAGGGCTGTCTGGAGGGTTAGCTCTGCCATATCCCAAGAGGCTGCAGCAGCCCTCCAGGCAAGAAGACATGTCCTCCTAGGGGCCTCTGCCGTTATTTCTCCTGTCTCATACCAGGGAGCTTGGGCTCTTGTAGTGCGTCAGGGGGTCCAGGCATCGGTGGGCCTCTTGCTGCCCCGTGTGCAGCCTCATCTCTCCTATCTCGTTTGTAGATGTGAGGGTTCCAGATTCCAGGACTTCCAGGCCCTGGGATGAAATAAACACTGCTGGTGTGGCTGGATTTGAAATTGCTGTTTGAGTAAAAGGAAATGTTTCTTTATTGCATAAATAATGTATAGCATGAAGAAAAAGCTCTTTCTCTGCCAGATATTTGCCCCTTTTCTAAGAATAGTCCTGGTTTGAGGTTGAAGTTGAAGCAGCTGTTTGCTGAGGGCGGGCACCTGGCAGTGAGGGAGAGGCCAGTGTGGTGGCTTTAGTAGAGGCGGGAACATTTCTACAGAGGGAGTGTTGTAGGGTGTGGGGTGCATGAGGGCTGTGGGACCCTGTGAGGGATACCTGGGCACCTCTGGGGCCGACAGAAAAGACACCCAATTCAGTGTGAATGAGGCCAGGGCAGGGCATCCAGCATTTTTCCTCTCTTCTCTGTAGTTATGTCTCTGCTCCTTTCTCTGTGTTCTGGCCATGAAAAAGAAGTGTTTGATTATTCATGACAGGGTGTTTTATCTTTTAGTGTCAAAAGGATCAGTAATTAGGTTTGAAGCATCCTCCGGCCCAGAGGCCTCGGCACCTTGTCTGAGATGGAAGAACAGCTTTGTGTTTAGGCCTCAATTGAACTGGGGTCGATTGTCTCCTGGTGTCTCTGGGCTGGCGTAGCCAACAGCCCAGCCTCCTACTGTTTAACCATCTGTTTGCTCATTTGTTCCTTCATTCATTTATTCAACCAGCAAATATTGATTGATGCTGACTCTGTGCCAGGCACACTGGTCATGGGGGATACAATGGTGAGCACAAAGAGGCCCATCTCCTGCTTTGATGGTGCTTGGTCCAGTGGGGAAGACAGACACTTATCAGGCAATCACAAAGAAAATGTATAATTCCAGACTGTTAAAAGAGCTTTGAAGAAAAGGTACATGGTGTTTTGACAGTGTATAACAGGTAGCCCCCCCCCTTTTGACCCCGAGATAGTCAGGTCATGACTCTTCACACTCGTTGACCTCTTCAACTGGAGAGAGTAAACCACATAGAATAGCGAACAAGGTGAGAAACAGAATCGTGGTGATGAATAAGATGATTACTACCAGGGCCCCCTGGTCCCAGGGGTTCTGCCAGAACTCATCATTCCAGATGTGCTTCTGCTTTGTTATCAGTTTGTCCATGTGAACCTGGAAAAGGGGGGACAGAGGCCCTGTCCTAGGCGCTGCTCTCTACCCTCAACTTCACTCTCTGGAGCAATCTCAGAGAACAGCTGGCCCACCACTGCAGCTGGTGGACACTGAAGGGATGGTGGGTCTCTGTGCTCAATGCCTCCAGCAAGCAACAAGTAGACTTTCCTCCTCTATAGAAACAGGAACAAGGACTGGCACCAAGAGAGGGGCCCTTGGATTCTTCCTGGAGGCTGCCTCTGGATTCTCCAGTCCTTTCCTGAACAGCTCTGGTGCGAGCAAGGACTTTCTCTCCCATTCCTGAGACCTACTCAGCTAGAATTTAAAAAGCGCTGCTCTAGATCCTTCCTGTTTTTCATGCCTCAATTGCCAAACCTTTGGGAAGACTTTGAGAGATCAGCGTAGGAGCCGAGGAATAGACTGACTTGAGCTGAGACCTCAGTGAACTTCCTTGGAGACAGCTGAAAACAAAAGGACTAATATCCTTTTTTTTCTTGAGGAAGATTGTCACTGAGCTAACATCTGTGCCAATCTTCCTCTATTTTGTATGTGGGACGCTACCACAGCATGGCTTAATGAGCGGTGTGTAGGTCCACGCCCAGGATCTGAACCCGCGAACCCCCAGCCACCAAAGCGGAGCACGCTAACTTAACCACTACACCACTGGGCTGGCCTCTAACTTATACTCTTGAAACACAGCTAAGATCAGCAGGCTGCGAGCCTGTACAGAGTACAGGAGTAATGGCAGAGTGAATGGAGTAAAGGAAGGAGTCATTACCTGATTCTGCTGTTAACACTCCTGTGTCCTAAGAGTGGGTGGATCAGGGTACTCCTTCAGGGCCCACGCTTTTGGGGGCTTGAGCTGAAGAGGCCACCAGATAACCAGAGCTTCACCCTGACTCGAAGAAGCAACTGTTGGGAGGAAAAGGTGTTCGCATTGCCAAGTAGCCCTGACCAGACCTCATTGCTGTCACCCGAGCAAAGAGAGGCAGGCTGGGGCCTGTTGCCTAGCAACCACTGTTCCCTTTCTGCCTTTCACACTTACTCCCTCAGCTGCTTTCTGCCCTTTTGTGATGTCGTTGTGGGGGGCTGCTCAGGGCACGTGTGTTGAGGTGTCCTCGATGAGAGAAGTCAGACTTGGGGTGGGTGGGGGCAGAGACTGGATCCAGGGCCTTTGTCCCAGGCCACCCATCCCGTCCTCCTCACCTGTGGCTGGGTCCGGCCTTTCCTCTCTGTCTAGATGACCTGTCAACTGAAAGGACCTGCCCAGAGTTGGGGAAGCCCTGGGGCTGGAACTGCCCCACAGGCTGCCCCCTTCCTGTGGTGCGGGGTGAATGATTAACTGCAGCTCCTGCTGGCACCTCCTGGAACTAGTTTCTGGGTTGAAATGTTTATCACCCTTGAGGCCCTGAGTTCCTGCAGAGGCCTAACTTCTCCCTCGGTGCCTTTGTTTGCCTCTCTGGCACGGCCTCAGCTGCTTCGTGTGGTTGGTCCCTACCCACTGGTGTGATAGGGCAGCTAGGAAGTGGGAGTGGAGCCTGTGTGCCCTGGCATTTGAAACTAGGTGGCCACCATTTACTCCTTTAAAAGATAGGATGAGAGTCCCTGCTGTGGCCGGGAACTGCACGAGGTGCTGTGTGTCCAGTGGTGAACCAAGAGAGGCAGGCCCTGCCCTCCTAGAGCTTACATTCTAGTGCGCTGGTCCTCAGCCCTGCTTGTAGAATCATCTAGGAGCTTTTCTTTTTTTTTTAATATTTTATTCTTTTTTTTTTTTTTTTTAAAGATTTTTTAATTTATTCCCCCCAAAGCCCCAGTGGATAGTTGTATGTCGTAGCTGCACATCCTTCTAGTTGCTGCATGCGGGACTCGGCCCCAGGATGAACGGAGCAGCGGCGCCTCGATGCGCACCCGGGATCCGAACCCGGGCCACCAGCATCGCAGCGCGCGCACTTAACCACCAAGCCACAGGGCCGGCCCTCTAGGAGCTTTTCTAAGTGCCTGTGCCCAGGCCCCACCTCATACCACTTATGGCAGTCTCTGGGCATGTCAGAGCCCTGTACTTTGTCACTTGCCAGGTGATTCTCATGTGCAGCCAGGGTTGAAGACAGATGATGAGCAAGTTCCTTAAAGTCCTTCTTAACTATCATGGGCTTAGTTGACCCCTGGCTTACCTGATGCTTCCCATTTCCTTCTGTGAAACACACTAATACCCTTGGCCTGCTAAACACTCCCAGCCAGTGGGCTGGCCTCTAGTTTACCCTTGTACTTACACTTCGTCAGTGAAGTTGGGTGCTTATCAAGAGTCAGCTGTTTGTTCCCGAACCTGTTTGTGGCAGTTGTACTTGTTATTGTAATTATATAATTGCACTTAACATTACATAAAAAAATGAAAAATCAATAATAGCCAAAACCCCAACTTTACAGCTAGGCCACAGGCATGGAGCTTAAGTAACTTACCCAAGGTCATACAGCTAAGAAGTAACTGCATTAGAGTTCATCTAGGTGCCACAGTCTGATCTCTGAAGCTCTGTGCTGTACCTCAGAGTGAGTGCAGAGAGAGTTGTTTTTATAAATATGTGTTTGACCACTTTGGAATGACTTTGAAATCCCTCAAATAAAATCCTGTCAAAATAGACATGGACAAGACAACTGTAAACATTTTGTAAAAATTCAGAAGGATTTCACACTCAGATTTCTTTGAGGATGTCTTTAAGTTCTTATTCTGCTTTAAAGAAACATAAAATTAGCAAATAGACAATACAGGAGCTCTGGTCAACAAACCCACACTCCGAGAAAAGACCCTGACCCGACATCAAAAAGATTGGCCAAGGAATGTGCACGTGTAGGTTTCCATTTAAAATGAGATGCGTAGAGAGTGTGTGTCATATACACAAAAGTTGCTTTAACTGACTTTTTCAATTAATTGCTGGCCGTAGTCAGAAAATTCTACTGAAATGGTCACCATGAAAAGCATATGAAGGGAAGAGGTAGAGAATGCTGTTGGTACGTGTGGCATAGCCTGGCCTGGGGGCTGAGGGGATTCCGCTGTAAGGGGATTGAGACGTGTGGAAGTTGAGACGTGAAGACTGTGTAAGGGCATTAGGGGACAGTGTTCCATGGCAAGCAGCAGGTCCCAAGGAGAGTGAGGAAACTGTTTTTAAGGACAAAATTAATTTATCCTCAGTTTCTTATGGTCTGGAATTAGTATTACCCACAAGCAAGTATGTAGTCATGAAGATTTTTATTGTAGATTGCTTTGAAATGGTAATGTTTGAGAAAATTGTTTTGTATGCTCTCTGCTAAGTCTTGCTAATGAGATTCTTGCACCAGTGGCCTTCCTGTAGTTTTTGATAAGGCTTGACGTACAGACAGTAAAATGCCCAGACCTTAAGTGTAGAGTGAAACCCTTTTGAGGAGCCGAGACCACTGTGGTGGAGCCAAGGCCACAGTCGGGGAGGCATGAAGAGGCCGGGAGGATCAGCACCCAGACTGGCTGGGACTCTGCCGCAGTGACCACAGGCAAACATTGATGGTGGCTTGGTCCAGGGTGGCGTGATGGCGGGAATGGAAAGATGTGGCGGCCAGAGTGAGCCAGATGTTCTCTGGGGCTCAGACAGCCTGATGGCCACACTGTCTTGCTGTACCTCTCTGTTTATTCTTTACCACAATGGGGGAATTGCTGCCTCCTCTCCATGCGCGTCTTTCCCAGAGAAGACCCACGCCGTGAGTTTGTCAAGCTGCTGTTGTGCTGGAGCAGATCTGGCTTGTTAAGCTGAGTGGAATTGAAGCCCAGGACTTGGCCCAAAAGCTGGTGGCAGCCATTGGTGGTGGGGCTCAGTGTGTGCCACTTGGCCGTGGAGTGGGAAGGAGTAAGCCCTCTGAGGGCAGAGACAGCATCTTATTTGGGCTCAGCAGTTAGATACTGCCTGGCCTGGAGGAGGAAAATGTGAATGACCCGGCCAGTCAGCCTGTTGGTGTCCAGGGCTGCCCATGTCCCCACCTTTTGGCAGCTGGACCAGGGAGCCAGAATCTTTTCTAGCAAAGAGGCTCAGCCTCAGCCACCCTGAGGAAGGGACATTCTTGATGCTGGTGAAAATTTGCCTAAGAAAAAGTCCGCAGGGGGCCAGCCCCGTGGCTTAGGGGTTGAGTGCGCACGCTCTGCTACTGGCGGCCTGGGTTCGGATCCTGGGCGCGCACCAACGCACCGCTTGTCCGGCCATGCTGAGGCCGCATCCCACATACAGCAACTAGAAGGATGTGCAACTATGACATACAGCTATCTACTGGGGTTTTGGAGAACAAAAAAAAAGGAGGAGGATTGGCAATAGATGTTAGCTCAGACCTGGTCTTCCTCAGCAAAAAAAGAGGAGGATTAGCATGGATGTTAGCTCAGGGCTGATCTTCCTCACACAAAAAAAAGAAAAAGTCACCAGGGAACTGGGCTGCTGCACTGTTGGAGCATCTCCTGAACTGAGGGCTTCCTCGGGTGCTGGGACTGAAAAGGGCAGGGCTTCCCATCCGGTCCCTCCCACCTCCCTGTGTTTTTCTTCTGGGAGGGAGACCTAGTTGGGCCTCACCCCAGCTCTTACCTCTTGGGCCCCACACACTCCAGGGAGGTTATTTGGTGATGGAGTTTGGGGTGTGGGTGTTTGGGATCTGGGGTTGGCTGATAGAGGATAATGGAATCAGAGCCATATCTGTACTGCACCTGGGAGGCCTGGGGCCCTGGGTGTGGTACGCAGGGGATCTGGCGCCAGGCAGGCTGGGCCCAGAGGCTGGCTCTGCCACTTTTTAGCTGGTTGAACTTAGGCAAGTTATCTAGTGTCGCTAAGGCTCATTTTCTCATCTCTAAAATGGGGATAATAATGGTATCTGTGGCATTGAGGTTGTTGTGATAATTAAATGAATTTATCGGCCGTCAAAATGCTTCAGACAATGCCTGAGCATGCATAGGCCCACAGTGAATTATAGCTATATTTATCATTGTTACCATCTTCATTATTATTATTGTTTTCATTATTATTCTGAATCCCATTCTTTTGTGGTGGTGGAGTGGAGGGTAGAGGCAGATTCTTGAATTTCTTTTATTTTGTATGGAAGCACTTCCTCTCTCGGTCTTCAACCCAAATCAAACCCGTCAGACAGGTCCGAGGACACCAGGAAGTGAAACCAGCCCAAGAGCAAGCTTCTCCTGCCTGCCTGCCAGCTGGAGCTGAGGGGAGTGGCAGGGGCTGGCATCCCCTCTCCACTCCCTGTTTTCTGGGTAGACGGGGCTCTGCCTCCGTACAGCCAGAGCATGTGCTACGCGGGCCAGGATGACAGAGGCATGTGAAAAATGCAGACCTCTTTATGGCTCTGGGGGACCAGTAGGGAAGGAGGGGGAGATACCACAGGAGCCTTTTGGCCCCCCACCCTCATTCCTGGGGTAGTAGCTCTACCTGGAAAGTTCTGGAAGAGAAAGTAAACTAAAGGGAGGGAGGCAAGGTGGTGTTACATTTCAGCAGGACCAGTCCTTAAAATGGGTCCATGTTGCTCTGGGTCAGTCACTTGTATAGAAGGGCAAGTAATGACGACGGTTCATACCTACGGAGCTCTTGGGATATGCCCAGCACTGTGCCAGGTGCTGGACATAGGTCATCCTGGTTTATCATCACAAGCTTACCCCCAAGAGGCAGTTATCAGGATTAGCCCTGTCTCACAGAGGAGGAACCTGTGTTCACACAGCTCATGAGTGGCAGGGCGAGGATTTGAACCTGGACAGTCTGGCACACAAATGTGTAAAGGGCAAAGGGGTCGGGATGCAGGTTATGGACAATACGAGGGGCCTGACCTCTCTTCTCGTACTCCAGAAGTTTGGGAAGACCTAGTGGCCTGAGCCGGCTAGTGTGGGGTGTGCAGGCTACAGTTAATGACAGTGGAAACTGTTAAGGGGCATTCCCAAGCCCAGCACCTGCCTCCTCACTGCAGAGTGGGCATCCGGGAGCCAGAGCTTGTTTGCAGCTAGTAGTGCTCGACATGAAGTTCGCTGCGCCCCTCCCCTGTTCTGTGGCATTGCCTCCTGTGTGGCATTCCTGCTTGCGTGTTTTTCCAGCTTTTGTGGGCATGGGGAGAGCAGCGACCTGGAAAGGACAGACAGTGGCCATGCGCCTCGAACTCTGGCCCGTTGCCCTCCCGAGCACAGAGCCCAGCACAGGGAGTCTCTGCCACAGAAACACATAACCAAAAAGCTTCTCCTGGGAAAGAGACAGACCAATACTGGAATAGAATACTGACATGCCTTTCTCTGGCAGGGAGCTTGGGATCCAGTCACCATTGCACAAAGTCCCTCTGATTGGCCTGCTCCTCTTTGGCCTGGGAGCCCCGAGGGCCAGCTCTTCACGGGTGCAGGTTGTTCTCGATCCAGGTATGGGGACCTTGCTTCCATGTTTTGTTAAGTGCAGGTAGGCAAAGAATCCCTGGTGCTTTACTCAATCTTTGAAACAGTCGACTCCTCCTTGGCACGCAGTGTTCACTGGCAGGTGAGGGTTTTGTGGCCAAAACAGCCCTCATTTCCTTGATGAGGCTCCAGGTATCAGTGTCCAGGATCCTGGGCAGGGCCAGAGCTGGGGCAGTGGATCTTTGTCTGCTGGGGTGAGGGCTGCAGGGCCAGGCTGACCCCCAGGCCATGGCTTTGGCAGTCTCCCCTCCAGCTTCTCCTTAGTCATCTCTCTGGCCCTCATGGTGGGGTCATGGGCCGCACTTGGACCTTCCTGCCCCTCTGCTCTGGGCAGCAGCAGTGAGTGCAGCAGCAGCTGCAGGCGATCAGCAGCATCAGCAGAACAGTGGCTGGAGGATGGGCAGAGAGAAGCAGAGAGCACAGGAATCTCAGAGGTGGGGAAGAGGAAGAACACCCACCCGACTTCTGAAGAAGCCCCTCGGGAGGTGTGGAGGACCCTTGCCCAAAGGTCTGGCTTCGTGGTCAGAGACACCCGAGAGTCTGATGAGAGGTGTTGACTGTCCTCATGCTGGCCACCAGGGCCCTGACCTCCCTGTTGTGCCTCATCTGCTGCCCAGAGCTTTGCTCCCTTCATCCCTGGGTTGGGATGCTGGGGATACCTCTGGGCCCTGGTTCCCAGCACCACCCATCACTCTAGCAGTGTGTCAGAGGATTAGGGGAACTCCTTGGCTTCCCCCAAGGGACATCTGCTTCTCCTTCTCTGTCTGGGGGACACCAGCCACCTCCGCCAGCCCTCTGGCTAGTACCAGGGTCTTGTCTCTCCCAGATGCCAGGAAGAGCCATGGGCACTGAGGAGAATCCAAGAGCCTCACCTTACCTGTGAAAAGGAGGAGGACTGAGAAGGCCACGATCTCCACGGGCTCGGCCTGGGGCAGCCTCTGCAGCTTGAGCAGCAGCCTCTCAGCCATGGAGTGTATCTCCTGCACAAAGTTGGAGGCTGCCATGCTGCGCTGGGTTCCTGTCGGGCTGCACTGAGCAGAGAGAGGACCTGGAGTCCCCATGGGGCTGGCTTCAGAGAATCTGCCCTCTCAGCCACCCGCAACCCGCAGAACGAGTTTGTCAGGTCTCACCCATCACACCCCTGGTGGCTGACAAGGGAGGAAGGGAGCCAGTGGGGCCCCTCTGCCCAGTGGTGGCTGTCAGCCCCCACCTAGCACTTCCCAGGGTAAGGGAAGCTGGTAATGACCGTGAGCCTGAGGCCCTGCTGCCGGGGAAGCTCGGCAGAGCTGGGCACAGGAGGGGTCTGCCAGCTGGCCAAGGTTGGCCAAACTTTCTGGGGTGACTTCACTGTTACATTCCTTTGTCTCAGACACCACTCCTAGGTTTTGCCAGGGTGCCTCGGATTGGCACAGCTTCCCTGGTGGCTCCTGGATTATTCAGGACTTTGGGTGCCTCCCCTGGGTTCCCTGGCAGGAAGACTGGGTTCTGGGATTCCAGCCTGGTGCTCTTGCCTTTCATCACGCGTAGAGGCAGAAGGATCAGGTTCTCCTGAGAACAGACTCATGGGGCCTTCTGGCCAAGGTCAGCCGTAGCTGATAACTGACTGGAAGAGATGGTCTGAGCCCCCCCCCCCCAGGGCCCCCCACCTCTCCCACTAGCCTAATTTCTTTGCTCATACGGTGTTCTCCCGTGAGGAGAAAGAGATGACACTGTGTCCCTCCACTTTTCCCGAGGTGTCCTCTCTCAGGATGGGATCAGGCATCCCAGGGCTGGTTTAGCCAGCCCCTCCCCTGCTGACTCGGACCTGCTCCTCTGGCCTGACCAGGAGAGTCCCCTCTGCTCCCATCCCTGCCCCAGGTCTGTGGCAACTCAGCCTTCAAGGCCCCATGACTGAGAGCCTCTTCCTGTCTACGGGAGCCCAAGAGGCTGAAGGTGAAGGTCCAGGCTGAGTGTGTGAGTTGGGGTGTGTTGAGCATCAGAGTTTCTTTCCCTTTCCACCTCTCCTGTGGGCACGAGGAAGCCAGTGCCTCATCAGAGAGGGATCAGGACAGCCTTGTGCCAGCCCAGCCTGAACCTCCTCACCTGGGCAGCTCTACTCCAGGGAGGGTAACAGGTGGCCAGGGGCTTGTGCCAGACCTTGGGCTCTAATTACTGCCACCTCGTTCCTGGTCTCAGCCAAGCAGGTTCTCCCCGAGATGGTGTGGTTTGTGAAGCCGGTCACTCCCAGTGCTGCGGCCACAGCATAGCTGCCTTAGAACCGCCTTGAAGGTCATCTGCTCCAGCTACCCTGCACTTGGCTCCTTGCCCTCCCTGTGGCATGCAGCCTTTGCTGAGCTCCTCTGGGTACGGTGGGGAGCCCCGCCTGCTAGAGCATTCCTTCTTGGGGCAGCTCTGATTGTTAGGAGATGGGACTGCCTAGTGACCTCGTTAGTCCCACCTGTGGTCACTTAGGACACTTGCGCCCCTCTTCTGCCTCACAGTCCTTCAGGCCCTGGAAGGCACTGGTGTGCACCTTCTCATCTCCTCCTCCACAAGGTAACTACTCTTGTTGTTCAGCTGCGCCTGGAGAACATTGTTTGAAATAACCTGGATTTGAATGCTGCCTGCCCCGTTCCTGCTTTCGTGATGTGGACAAGTCACTTCGTCTCTCTGAGTCTGTTTCTTTTCCTCATTTTACGTGAAGATGAGCTGCCCGTCTTTGAGGCTGTTGGGAGGATTGACCACCTGGCAGCACAGAGCAGCAGCCGGCACAGAGCCTGGCACAGGGAGGTGCCCAGTGCATGTGATTCCCCTCTGGGTGAGGTCTGGCCAGCTCAAGAGAGTTGAGGCAGCCTTTGGAGGAGTCGCACCCCCCTGTACACTGTCATCTGACCTTCCCCAAACCCCTTTGAGGAGTTTCATCTGTGTCCTTCATTCCCAGGATGTTTATGGTGTGTGAGGTGAAGGAATGTGGTAGGGGCCAAGCTGGAGATTGGAGCTATTCTTTTAAGTGATGATGGGGGTAGCAGGCAGATGATGACTCCATGGAAGATTCAATGGATTCCTGTCAAAAGTGGGAGGCTCCTTGGAGTTAGATCCTCCTAACTTCCCTCACGCCCCACCCCAGGATCAGCACGTTTCTGCAAAGGAGATTAGGATCCCAGTTTCCAAATGTACTAAGAGACTAGAATCCTAGAATGCCACAGTCATCCATCCATGACTCCTTTCTTTTACATATGGGGAAACTGAGACTGGAAAGAGTATGTGACTTCTCCAAGGTCACACAGCAGGGCAAGGGCCCAGCCAGCGCTTCCCTTACTGCCCCACACTCTCTCTTGATGGAGGCGTGTCTCGGGCAGCCTGCTCATTGCTAGCAAGATAAGTCAGCCTGGGAGCAGCCCACTGAGGGCACCGCCCATGTGGTAGGCTCAGCACAGGAACCAGAGCCCCAGAGCCCTTTGAAAGCAGGTGGGCTCCACCTGATCAGCCCGACCCCACACTTGTGAGTCTGGAGCACTGCTTTTATCAGGTACATCACTCACCAGGCCAGAGCCACACCTGCTCTTCGAGAACCACAGGTGGTACTTGTACCAAAGGGACAGGTCTTGTGTGTCTGTCTCATTTTCATCAAACTCCTTCCTGAGCATAGGACCCCTCTCCTCCGGTCACACAAAACAGACTTGCTCCCGGTGAGCAGTGGAGCAGACTTGCACAAGGAGGGTGGTCCCCTGCCTTGTTCTGGGCATCCACTCCCCAGGTTTCCAGGAGCCTGGGAGCCTGGTCTCATTCCTGGAGGAGGGGGCAGTGCTGACCAAAGCCCTGGGGGAGAGTTCACACAGGGCTCAGGAGCTGGGCTGCTTTTCTCCCCTCCTTCCTCATCTACACTTGGTCTGGCTTTCTCAGCCTGATTGGCCTCGTGCCTGCACTGCCTAATGTAGCCATCAGAGATACTCCTTAAAAGAGGAAGTGGGCAGAGGGTGGGTGGGCAGGGGGAGCTTTTTCACTTATGCTGCCACCACACCCAAAGACCTGGGAGGGATTGCAGACGAGGCGCCTCCACCTGTGAGCGAGAATGGTGTGGAGACCCCGGGTCAGTCTGAGGGGTGTTGTCTCCAGAGCAGGGAGGAGGAAGGTTGGGCTGAGGCTGAATTTGCTGTGCAGTAAAGGTGGGGTTTGTTGATCAGAAGCTTCAGCTATAAGTGAGCCATTCTCCAGGGGTTAGGAAGTCAGAAAGCTGCAGATTCATGTCCAGAAGACCCAGGCCCCACTCTGGGAAGTGTCAGTCCACACCAGCAGCAGGCCACGGACATGAACCGAGTTATTGCTTTGTACCCAGGGCCTCTCTGGGGACCTGCACTAGCCAGCCATACCCAGCCTGGGGTCTTACCTAGGTCTGCTCACTGGGTCCTGTCTGTGCTATGAACTGAGTGGGGCCACTAGACGCAGCTGTTTTGCCCCAAAGACTGTAGAGGAGCCACCTTTGCTTTTCAGTTAACATTTCGTCATTTCCAGCTTAGACTTGAGCAGAATGAGCCTTAGTGGGGACCGTGGGGTGCTGGAGGGCCGTTGGTCTCCTAAGAGGAAGGAGGCACATTCCAGCTGGTCCAAGGCGGTCTTCTCAGTGGGCTATTTAAAGCAAGGCTAAGGGGGTGCCTGACGCCTGGTGCCCAATATAACTAGCAGCCGTCAGGTGACTGTGTGGCTTGTGTCCCAGCCATTGCTCTGTAAGGGAACCCTAAGTGTTCCCAGCTCTGGCCTGGGAAAGTGGGCATTCTGGCACTGGCTGCCTCTCATCCCCTTAACCTTCTCAGGTTTGGAGGGAGGAAGGCAGGGAAGCCGGGTGGGGTTACTGATAATTCTCTATATTTTTCCAGTCTTTTTATCTCAGGTCCATCAAACTCCTTCCAAAACTGTACTTCCTGCCTGTGAACCAGGGAGATCAGAGACCCTCCCAGCCCCATGCTCGGTGGTTCCTCCTTAGAAGCAGCCAGAGCAAGTGGTGTCTTCCCCTGGCCCCAGGAAGGGAGAGCAGCCTGGCTGCCTGCATGGCCCTTCTTGGAGCCTTCAGAGGGTGCTCCCTGGCTGGAGTGGCAGCCAGTGGAGGGGGAAAGTGAGCAGGGCAGAGAGGAAAGCTGGCAGAGCTGGAGGGACTAGAAAACATCCCATTGTGTGGCATCTCCTGGCACAGAGAACCTTGTGACAGGGCAGGCAGGCATCCTGCAGGCCAGACAGCTGCCATTTGGTACTGAAATGTCCCTGCTTCCTCCTTGCAAAACTGATATTCCAACTCCAGATACCCCACAGGGAAGAGAGCGGCAGGCAGCAGGCGCCTGTGTTTGTGACTGATAAGCACAGTGTGTTGATGGCTCAGGGCCCCGAGAGCTTCTTGCTCTGCCCGTTATTTTGTCATGGTGGGTTTCAGCCACCCTTGCCCTTTGGGGCATTGTCTTGTTTGAGGAACAGCTGGAATGAGGCATAACTAACAATTGTGGGAGATTTGTGGGGTCCGGAGGCCCGACCAACAAAGCCGAGATGCCCACTGTGCACTGCTCCGAGCCTTCGGGTGATGATGCCCCTTTCTGCCTGGCTCTGACTTGCAGTGCGCAGTAGGCACTTGAACCCTCAGCAGTCCCTACTCCCCCAGCCCTGTCGCTTTATAGGATAGGAGGCACTTCCTGCTGCTGGTGATTGTTCCTGAAGCCCCAGAAACTGAGCATCACTCTTCTGTCCCAGCTCGGGGACTGCGTTTGTGGGACCCCTTCCACCCGCATTCTGTGGGTTCAGCGACTCTGATGCCTGCCTGGGGCGTATTACGGATAAGAGCTGGCAGGGGTAGCTGTGGGCTCACCACTGTGCCGCTCCCTCACCAGGCCTGACCCGCTGCCTCCAACACAGCCCAGCATCTGTCTCTTCTCTCTGCCACGTGCTGCCTGTCACTGCAGGCCTTTCTGTCTCCCCAGCCACCAATCCAGGCCAAATCCCGCAGCCTCTGCCAAGCCAAGAACACTTGATCCTTGGTTTCCACTTTTCCCTGGATCTTTGTTTTCCTTTCTAAGTAGATACTAGCTTGTTTGCTTTGGGGAAAACATCTGGGGGGTAGGGGAGGGAGATTTTAACCCTGGCATGAGGACAGAGAAGCAGGGGTAGGCAGCCAGCCTCGACTCACGACTCACACTCACGGGCCCTGCCCAAGAGGGCCAGAGGGCCAAATACCAGGGCAGTCCCTCCCCCAGGCTCGATTCTACCATTGTCACCTTCTTCCCACTCGACCTTGGGTTTAGAGTCAGGCCCTCGCGTTTCTGGCGCAGAATTCAGGGAAATCTGGGGGCTCATAGGCCCAGAGAGGAGCCCTTGGGCAGAGCCCCAAGCTGAGAACACCTGGCAGTGAGTGGGCCAAGCCCCCCACAAGAGGTGGCAGCTCTTGACACAGTTCATCCTGGGGGGATGAACTGGCTGGGCAGACCCTGCCTGAGCCTCCTGGACTGGGGGAAAGCAGGGACAGGGAGGGCTCTGCCGGGATCCGGGGAGAGAGGAGGCTCAGCGGGCAAGCAACGCTTCTCTCCCAGGCGGGGACAGTCAAATCCCTCGTTTAAGCCCCCTGAATAGAAAAAGCTTAAACGAACTTGCAGAGTAAGCAGGCATTCTGGGCCCCTCTGCCTGCTCAGCAAGCAGGGAGGAAGCCACCCTGAGTGGAGGGCTGCAGCCTCAGCCTGTGTCCTCCAGTGCTGGGTCCCAGCAAGAGGGGGAGCCCAGGTTTGAACAGGAGGCTGTCCGGAGACTGTAACCAAGTGCATCCCTCGTGACCCTCCTCTCCATTCTTGGTAAATTGTGGCCTCTGCCCTTGGGGTAGGGGACCCCTCCTGCTCCCTTCCCTTCGTCGTCCCCCATTTGTCTGTGGCCGGCGCCACTCACCTGGGAGCTCAGGTGTTGGGGTTGAGGGGCCACCGCAGGTGTTGGGGAGCCGAGCAGCTTCCGCGTGCCTCTCCTCAGCCCTGGCCGCCACCCCTTCCTTCCTTCCCTGACGCCTCTTAGCTGACCCACTGCTGCTCCCTGGGCGCCTCTCAGTGCGAGCAAGAGAGAGAGAGAGCGCGCGCGAGCTCCTTGCTGCTGACAGCCAGCTGCTGTCTCAGCCTCAGCTTTTTTGTTGTTGGTCGTCCTGGAGATCCAAGTGTCAAGTTACACAGGGTGGCTGCTGAAGAGGGGGGAGCCAGTGCCCCAACACAGGCAAGGGAATCCCTGCTGGGAACTTGTCCTCCATGGGCTCCCTGCCCCGAGAGTCTGCATGGGCCGGGCTCCCTCTCTTCTGTTCCTCCTCTTCCTCTCCTCTCCCTCCTGGCGGGTGTGTGCTAAGCCGTGTGGGCTGGGCCTGGGCTGTGATCTGATGAAAGAGGAGGGCGGGGCCGGCCCGGTGGCTTAGCGGTTAAGTGCACGCGCTCCGCTGCTGGCGGCCCGGGTTCGGATCCCGGGCGTGCACCGACGCACCGCTTCTC